TGAAAAGTAAAGAAAAAGGAGTTCCAACCACTAAAGAGATAGTTTTAGATACATTGAGAACCAGTTTATTGCTCCTTGCCCAGTCCACCACTAACTGTAGCTCTCTTTGTAGTTTTGTATTTAACTCACTAATATTAGTTGCTGCTAATATATAATAAAATCATCTGCAAACTTTGAGATGCTTGCTTTACAGTATCTAAAACAGAAACAAGATCATTGGTAGATTAGATTAGATTAGATGAGCTTTATCGATCTCACAGCAGAGAAATTCACTGGTCACATATTGGCATAGTACTTAAAGAAGGTGCAAAACAAGGAGGAAAAAGGTGCATTAAGAATAAACAATAATATAAAGTATATCAAAATAAATAAGGATTAAGGTGCACGTGTACATGTATGAAAAACAAAATAAAAAATAAGGAATAAAAAAATAAAGAAATAAAAGGGAGTAACACAGACATTTGAGGTGTCATATGTAAAGATTGTGTATAGGAGCGGCCCATGTTCCACAGCCCTTACCTTCTAAAAAGTGCCATCGAAATAAACTAGTTTTCTTCTATCTGACAAATAACTTTTCATCCACAACAATGCAGTTTGTGAAAAACCATAATACCCCAGTTTTTTAAGCAGTAATTCATGGTGAATGATATCAAACGCTGCAGTGAAATCAAGTATTACAACACCTATTATTTTCCTCTCCTCCATATCCTTGAACCAGTCATCAACCATCTGAGTCAGAGCACTGGCTGTTGAGTGTTTTTCTCTATATGCATGTTGAACATTTGTAATCATTGTTCTTAAAATAAGACTGAATATGTTCATTAACAATTATTTCCATTATTTTTATTTGAAGGGGCATTTTCTTATTTTTAGGTATTGGCACTACTTTACATATTTTCCATTCTTGCAAATATATATTATTCATAAAACACATATTAATTCGATGAGCAATAATAGGAGCAATGATTGCAACTATTAAAAAAAGCAACATATGATCAAGTTAGTCAACACCAGGTGGTTTGTTTTTACAATTCATCAGAAGTAATTCCACTTTAGAAACACTTACACTCTTGAATTTAAAACTACATGTTTTACCCTCCATCATCTTATTTATTAGTGTATTTGATACATTTGTGTTGCATAGCTGTGTGGTATAGTTTAGTTTGTTTCATTGTTTAAATAAATAATCATTAAGATGCTTCGTTACATCTCTTATATAAAATTCACCTTCATGTTCTAAATAAGCTGGAATTGATTTATTGTTTCCTCTTAATATATTATTCACTGTATTCCATAATTGTTTATTATCATGTTTAAATTCTATAATTTTTTAAGTATAGTAAAATTTATTTTTTTCTTTTTTTTTTTTTACCTCAGTTACAACATTTCTAGGTTTACAATATATTTGCCAGTCCACTTTTAAATTTAGATATGATTGCTGCTTTTTTGTCTAGATCTCTCTCTTTCATAAGATCTTTTAATTCTTGATCTAACCACGGGGTGTAAATATTTCAAACAGTAAACTTTTTAATTGGTGCATGATTTTCTACGATGCTCATTAAGGTTTGATCAAAAAGCTGAAATGCCTTCTCTGGATCCATTTGTAATATCACCTCTGAACAGTTTGTATTTCTTATATTATCTTTTTATTGTAAATTGTTAAAACTTCTAAATTACATTTTCATTACTGTTTTTGGACACATTTTAGGAACTTTTGTTTTTCTTACAATTGCAAGAAGATTGTGGTCACTAAAACCAACGGGCACGGATAAGCTATTTGAGAACACTTTTAGTCAATTTATAAACATATGGTCAATACAGGAAGCTGATCGAGTGCCATCCTTTTTTTATACACATTCTTGTTGGTTTATTGATTATCTGTGATAATCCACATGCTATTGATGTGCACATTCATTTGTTTTTCCAAGGACAGTCAGAAGAACTCAAGTCTATGTTGAAATCACCCATTAAGTAAATTTCCAGGTTCCTACTACTAGCATGATCTAACATATCACATATTTGATCCAAATATTCACTACTAGCATTTAGAGGTCTGTAACAGCACCCTATAAGTATTGGTTTTAGATGTTTCAGACTAACTTTTAACTAAATTGTTTCAATACCAGAATGCATTAAGTTTGGCATCACTTGAACAGGTATATGATTTTTTATATAGATAGCAACTCCTCCTCCATATATATTTCTCTCTTTCCTAAATATGTTGTATGCATTTATCATTAAAGTTAAATCATCTAATGTAGAGTCAACATGAGTTTCAGACACTGTCAATATTGTAAATTATTATTTGCAATATGTTTATTAAATCACTTAATTTATTTCTAAGACTGCATATGATAATATGGGCAATTAAAATTTATGTAACAGCGAAGATCATGTTTTTTTTTTAAATTCATAGTTAGAATTTATATTGAAGCAAAACGACTTACACAAAACAACTAAATTAAACTACATATATACATTAATACACATAGAGTCAGACGAACCGTTTTGTATTGCCACTCTCTTTGTGAAGGTTGCAATAAGTGAGCTGAACTCTTGACTTTCATTTCTATCATAGCTCTCGGCCTGATAATACATAAAACATAGAATTTCTTACAATAATACTCACAAATTAGGCAAAACATGAACAGTCTTTAACTAAGAACATAACTGTCTTTTAGTTTCCAGTATCTTAATATTTAGTAAATTGTCATCCTCAATTCTTCAGTTTCAATTAATCAATATAATGTGTAATACAGATAAAACATGGAGTCGGTAATTATATCCTTAAGTTTTTGTCTATGTATCTGTTCCCAGTTCCTCGAGATGCATGTCAGACAGTTCTCAATTCAGTTCAATTACTCATACAGTATCTGCATTCGATGTACTTGTTTCTGATGCAAAGTCCACTTATTAGACTACTTAATTGCCAGACAGCGTTGGTCCAGTTACTTGATTGCAGTAGATGTCTCCCGATTTCTGATCAGATCAGGAAATCAGAAACACTACGGGACGCTAAAAAACTCGCTCTCCGCTGGCCCTCAAGAATGAGCACCAAAGCAGGAGCATCAGTAATCTGGCCACGATGGCTGGGACTGAGGCGTATAAATAGAAGCAGCAGCAGGTGGATCAGATTAGCAATACTGAACAACCAGGCAGAGTTAGACAGGTGAATGGAGTGAGCAATTAGGCCAGCCATCAGTGCCAAAATCATGACCCTCAGCACCATAACACCACAGTTTTTTCAACTTTTTAAACTGTTGCCCACATACTGTAGCAGACACTACCAGCAACATAAAGTTATCCCATAATAACATTACACTCATTTTAATGAAAAAAAGCTTTAACGACTTGTTAATTAAAAGGGCAAGTCAAATATTCAAATTATTATTTCTTTTATACACTCTTGTTTCTGCATAGTTCTATCTTTAACTTTTTTTTCTCATGCAAAGATGTCAAATTTTGGCAACACCAGCAAAGCAACATGTCAGTAAAGATTCAATACTCATTTTAGGAAGTATTTGAAAAGTTGTGCTTTGGGATTTAGCAACACTCCTGTTTGCACCCTGAGATTTCTCTGAGGCAAGTAGGACTGCTTGAAAAGGGCAGACTGCTTGTTGAAGAGGTTTTTGCTACAAAGCCCTGCTTGGGGCCTGAGGCACACACATTTATTCACTCCTGAGAATTTCACAAAGGCCAGTAGAACTGTTCTTTAAGGGCAGACTGTTTTTACAAAGGTTTTTTGCCATGTATCTTTGAGTAGCCACACTAGTTGCCTGAAATACATCCTTTTACACCATAATGTTTGCAGTCTGAACAAAACAGTTTTTGTATCTTTTACTTTAATGTCTCTCACAGAAAATTAGACCATAGACGTAATTATTTTTTAGAAGCCACTAAATTTACTAAGATATAGTTATTAAACATGTTTTTTCTTATAATCCCCTGGATAACAGAAAGGATAAAATACATACCACACGAAAGCTGGAGTCTGACCCCAGCAGAGCCAAAGGTTGCTCAACTCCATTTCAGCCTGAATTGACAAACCAATTCTTTTACGTATTGCTATTATTTAAGGTGCCAATTCACAACACGTCATCTCAAAGCACTTTCCAGAGACAATTTAACCACATTGTACACTTTTTCACTCCTCCCAATAAACTCTATTTATGAGTTTTAAGCCACATTCATTAAAATAAATACAAATAAGTACTTCAACGTGAGTTTTAATTTGTAAGTAGAAATACTGCATAAATAATATACATAATAATAAAAAAAATTTTTATAACTTTATATTTTTAGATACACCTGAAATCCTTTTGTCCTTATTCATCCTTTTTCTTTCAGTGCTTGAATTTAGAGATAAAGGTTAATTCGCCATCTCTTTCCTTCCTTTAGGCCAAATCAATCCACCTTACTCTCTGTCTGCCATTGTCCTAATCAGACCCTTAACTCACTATTGGATTTCAATGGAACAGTCACAGCCCAAAGACCTTCACAGCAAACCTGATCAATGATCCTCAGTTGGCTGTGTTTTTATATTGGTGGGTCCTTCTAGTTTTAACGATTACACAAAAAGGCGACATTGGGGCCAATGTCTTGATATGTCTTACTAGAGTTGAATTGTCATTTGCTTCATGGTTGGTGCCAATCAACTTTGTGTGTTGGCACATAAAAGCCTTGGTATCCAAACCTTTATGATTTCTTTGCCCCTTAATTTACAAAAACAAAATGTTGGTAAGGTTTATCTTTTGTGCAGCAGAAAACAAACGTGATTCCATGATTTCTTCCATTATTCTTTTCTTCCAAGCTGGGTAGAAGAAAACAAAGTGAAAATCAATTTACGTTCAACCTCACTTTAAAAAACAAACAAGGGAAAATGGCTCACATATAAAGTGTTCTTTTCCCAAGACAGTATTTGTTTCAAGGACAAGATTATAACAATAGATAACTCATCGCATGAATCCAATCCCTTAACTAAACTTCATGTTGCCTTGCAGGTCCAGCTGTGGCCCCACTGAGCTCTGGAAATGGACCAGATGCATCCCATCTGCCAGTCACACGCTCCCCCATGACTCAGGAGAGAGGTAGGTCTATATATATATAGTAAGAGGGAATGTTGTATTTGGGCATGCATCTTGTCATGGAACTTTTTTTTTATTTTAGCTAAACGTGCAGACCAATCCTCAATAGGCCCAGTACATGCAATGCTATGTTTGTGCTTTACTTGTTCACTGCAAGGGAAAGGTTTTAAATGGAAACAATATGTTTTGTTCCATTCCACACCACACGGGGCTGCGTGAAGATAAGAGGCCGTAGAAAACTCTTTATGGCAACATAAACTTAATGGGCGTGTATGGTTGTTTTTTCAACTTTTTCTTCTTTAGAATCGTAGGTTATAAAAGATTCATTTCTATGTCTGAAAGTGAGAAATACACAAAAAGATAAGAAAAGAAATGAAGCAAAATGCAGCCAAAAACCCAGTCGATAGGCAAGGCAAGGCAAGGCAAATTTATTTGTATAGCACAATTCAGTACAAAGACAATGCAAAGTGCTTTACATGATTAAAATACAGGAAGATAAAACAGAATCAAAGCAAGTAGGAAAAAAACAGTTGGAAGTTTTTGTTAGATTACATTTATTTATTTGATGATTGTTTTTTTTTTTTATGGAGAAGAAGAGGACTTTGTTTGAGCTAATTTTCCAGTATTTGATTTCTAATTATCTTTAAAGCTGTTAGCATTTGATAAAAAATTTCTCCTTGGGTAGTTGACAATTCCCCAGAACCTTGCCTTTTGTTCTACTACCATAGAACTGCAAAACCTTTCCCATTATCTACAGTTAATTTAACTCTGCCCGATATGCAATTTAACTCTGCCCGATACACACCAATCCTATGGTGCCAACCTGGATAACTGGGGGGATCCCACTCTAGATTACCGATGTCTCTGTAAAATTAAGTACCTTCTGGTGGCACCTACAACCTTCCTCTCACTCTTAGAGAGAGCCTCACGTTCCTATGCGAGGTCTTTTGGTTCACAGGTGGAACAAAACCTGAATTGCCTTTCTGCTCCCCAAAAAGGAAAGTTATCTTTTATTTTGTATGTATATTCTTTATTATTATACTAATGGTAATGCTTTTGAAATGATTAATTTAAAGAAAATATGTTTTAGTTGAACTGTTTAACTAGAACAGTCGAAGGCAATCCTAAACAAATGTGTTTTTAGTCTTGATTTAAAGGAACTCAGGCTTTCCGCACTTTTACAGTTTTCTGGAAGTTTGTTCCAGATAAGTGGAGCATAGGAACTAAATGCTGCTTCTCCATGTTTAGTTCTGGTTCTAGGTATGCAGAGCAGGCTGGAGCCAGAAGACCTGAGTGGTCTGGAGGGTTGATACACTGATAGCAAGTCTGTGATGTATTTAGTTGCTAAGCCATTCAGGGATCTATAGACTAACAGAAGTATTTTAAAGTCTATTCTCTGAGATACAGGGAGCCAGTGTAAGGACTTTAGAACTGGGGTGATGTGCTCTACTTTCTTAGTCTTAGTGAGGACACGGGCAGCAGCGTTCTGGATCAGCTGCAGCTGTCTGATCCACTTTTTAGGCAGACCTGTGAAAACACCGTTGCAGTAATAGATTCGACTAAAAATAAACGCATGGATTAGTTTTTCCAGATCATGCTGAGACATTAGTCCTTTAATCCTGGAAATGTTCTTCAGGTGATAGAAAGCCGACCCTGTAATTGTCTTTAAATGCTTTTGGAGGTTCAAGTCTGAATCCAGACTTGAACCTCTGGATTCAGACTTGAACCTTGTTTTAAACCTGGATACCATAATATGACATTAGCTGAGAAAGTTTGCCACTAACATTTAAACTTACAAAGTTAAGCTTTATATGATGAGATAATCAGGGAAAAGGGAGAAAGTCATAATAAATCTCTGAGATTACAAGCATGAAGACATAACATGCCAACACTATGTGGGGGGTTTAAGAGAGCTCTGCCTCTGACTGACCACAGTAGATAATGACTTATACGGTAGTTAAAAAAGCTACATTTTTGAGAGCATCTAGATATATTTCATGTTGTGCTGCAGTTACAACCATTATTTTATTGTGATGTGATAGCCTACTTTATATTTGTGGGTTATCCTGTGTGAGCTTTGTTTTGTTTTGTCATGTAATAAGTGTTTATTTAGCCAGTTCTTACCTATCCTGCAGTTATGCATTCCTCAAACTATTACTTCAAGAGATACTATCTCTCTTGTAGATCCACTCTACAGTCAAATGTTTTCTCCTTCCTTTGGCTCAGGCAAAGATAATTAAACAATCAGGTGTTGTGGCCTGATAATGCAGGTAAACGTCCAGGATGAATATTTGGAAAGCTGTTATTGATTATTTGTTGAATTGATCCCAATGTAAAAATGTAAGCCTACACCAAGACTTTAGATTCAGCTGTGTTAAACAGGAGATGCATGTAAGAGATGGTAGCTCTTGAGGGCTGGACGTGAGCACCTCTGCTCTAATAAAACTCTAGTTAGTTTTCAGGATTTGAAAACACTTTTTAGGTCCTCAAAAAAAAAGCAAAATGAGTAAATCTTGCAATTCTTATTTGTTTTTGTTTTCACAAAACCCTGCAAAAAGCCTGAATGACTAGAAAGAGACCTTAATGGAATGACTGTAAGAGTCCCTCTCCATCACCCACCAAAGAGCAGTTAAAATCACGGAGAGACAGAGGGAGTGGATGGATGAAGACAGAGGGAGAGAGTGGGGCACTGATGAAATCAAGTTGGAGATTTAATGCTGCTCTCTAATGCCTGTAAACCTCAAACTTCCCCTGCCTCCCCCCCAGCTGAGTCCAGGAAAGCTCAGCACGGTTAACAGGGTCGGCTGTTGTTTATGCTGTTTTTTGCCATGCTCAGATTTACCCCCACCCTCCATACGCTCTCTACTCCACACTTTGCTCAAGTGCTGGCCTCCCTAAGAGCCTCTCTCCGCTCTTCATTTCGATAAATCCACTGACCGTCCCTTTTTTCCCTCTCCTACTTTTTTTCTCGCGTGCTCACTCTTGTCCAGCTAAGAGCGTCTGTGCCAGAACAAGAGAACGGTCTGTGTTAGTGTGCGAAGGGGGAACGTAGCACAGAGAGAGAGAGATGAGGAGAAAAATCCTTGAATGTGTTATTTGCTTTTAGCACTGTCTGCACAATGTTCCTCTCCCCATCCATTTTCCAGGCAATTTAAAGTGCAGTATTACCCTCAGTATTTTTTTCTCCTCCTCTACCAGAATCCCCTTACCCTAATGGAAGCAAAACATTACAATAATGTCCTCGCTCCTTAAACCCAGCACTCGCAGCCTAAGCACTTTCAGGCCCCAATCGCTCTTTTCCCTCTGTCTTTTCCTCCCACACACACGTTCTCTCTCGCTGAAACACTTTCTGCTTAGGCCTGCGTCTCTTTGCAGTACAAAAAAACTCAAGCAGAGTATTTATTGCTCTCTATCTTTATCTCCCACTCACACGCGCACTCGGAAAGCAAATATGTATATCCATATGCACAGCAATAAACTTCAGAACATTTTAAAACTTCTGCCTCCCTTTCCAATATCCCTGCTCTCGAGCAGAAACAAGGAATTACACAAGTGTCAGCTTTCCGTTGTTTCCCCCAAACCCACTAAAGAGTCAGCCTGCGCGCGCCCATTCAACAAAGCGGATGGCTGTCCAAGTATACAGCCGAGCAAACCCAATCCATTTACACCTAATCTGCAACACCGTGCTGGCATGCACACACATTTCTACACCCACACTGGCACTTTTCTCCCTCAATGGCCGCCCAGCGACCTTTCTCCATTTGTGGCGAATTGGCAGACCTTTCAGTACTCTAAAAAAGAAGCAGGAACGTAGTAGCTTGAAAGAGCAAAGCCCAGGCAAGGATCGCTGCAAAATGTCAATTCGAATGGTGCAGGCAAGTTGGGGCCTGAGAGGCTTTAACACGCCTATTGACAGAGCAGATTAGAATAACACAGTAGCCATGGTCGAATCACCAGCTCTGCTGTGGGTTTTAACCCAGAGCAAAACTTTTACATGTCCACTCAGCTTTTATTGTTATATGCATCTCTAAGGCCAGGTGTGTACTTAAACTCAGCTTTTGTCAGCAATAGCACTCACTGTATGCTTTGTCTGTTTATGTGTCCAAGGATCCATTTAGATGTCAGCCTGCTCCTTTTTCCAAATACCTGTTTCATTTATATGAAGTGTATATATATGAGTAACAGTAGGTAACAGAGAGGTTAGGGATCAGATCCTCTTATCGTAGTGAAAGATGCTAAATAAAAAGAAGAATATCCTCTCTCCTACAGTCAGAAAGGCATCTTCTCTTTAAGCCAAAATTCAGTTTTTTTTTCTAAAATATGGAAAACATTTACATTTTTTGTTTCTTACTATTTTATTGTCCTAAAGATAAATGCATATATATATATATATATATATATATATATATATATATATATATATATATATATATATAATTGTTTATATTTCAATACTTTATGTTTTCTATATAAGCTATGTCAGTCAATTGTTATATTTAGGCTTTTTGCACTCTGACAATACTAACAAACAGTTTGGGTTGTTTTTAAGAAAGAATAAAAATAGATATTTTTTTTATCTTTATTTATTGCAGCATAAACCTAAACACCTACCACATTTGGTCCCTATTACATAGCCAACATATCAGGGTCAGCACCACATTGCTGTCAACATGCAGCAGAGCAGGACATGCAGAGCACCTTCAGTTTGCAGCAGGCATTGGCCAAAACTTCTACTAGATGCTAAACCCAATGTCACTCAAACAGTATTAAATAACATAGCTCTTGACACAATGACTTTCCAGCTGTTTTTACACAAATACCTGACAGACTTAAAGATAAAATCTATCTAATCTATTTTCCCTTTTTGGAAGCAAAGGGCTTTTTTTTGTCATTTAATTATTTTTGTTTTTTTCTTAGGTTTCATGTCCAACATGCAAAGGAACCAGCCTGGATCCCAGTTTGCACCTCCCCAGTCCGGACCTCCTATGTCTCCCCACCCCTCACAGGGGGGATCAATGTATCCCAGCATGGGTCCGTATTCACAGAGTGGCCCCACGGGTCCCTATGGACCTCAAGGACCTCAGTACGGACACCAAGGTTTGGAAATCTTCCCATCTGCAGATATTTCAATTTTTTTACATTCAGATTTTAACATATTCTTGATGATTGATTGTTCCTGTTAAAGTAAAATGACATTTTTATTATAGTACAAATAAAATGGTCGTATATTATAATTTATTACTTAGCTGACAAAGGTGCTGAACACAAGTTATCTTATCAAAAATGTTAACAAGTAAAAGTCTTGCAGTATTAAATCCACATCCACTGAAAAAAAAAGTCCACATTTTGAGCTACGACTTCAAAATGCATAGAATGGATTCCTGTCAAGGATTGAACTGAGCTAAAACCAACCTCTCATGTCATGACTTCCACCTGAGCTGCTTCAACTTTCCGACCGGTCATGTTAGGAGGATGAGAGCCTCACATCATCTAGTCAGAGAGGTTTCAGGCACAAAAAAGCCAAACTTGTCTTTTTTTGAGGGCTTTCGAACCCTCTCTCCCTCTGCAATGTCAGCTGTGTCAGAAAGGTTGCTAATTAGGAACACAAAAGGATTTTCAGACATTTCCATCATCCGTGTTCTCATACACACTCTCTCACACACACAGCAAGGTACAGCCATCTATCCTCTCGTGTGGAGGGCCTCACAGTAGGCATTAAAATCCAATGTGACTCTCTGATTATTCATGAGGCACTTGAAACCTGGACAGACCTCTTGGCCCTCTTCATGATATGATTATGAGGGAGCTCAGAAGAGACGAGTCCAGCCAACTTGTCACAAGGTTTATCCACTGAGTTACAATTTCAGGTCCTGCTGAGATTTCAGACATAAAGAAAAGAAGAAGACTTTTTGAAGGTTTATAGCAAAGATTCTTTAAGTTCAGACACTGATCTTGATCTGATCTCTCAGGCAGAATTTGTCCGTGACCTTATTAGAGAAAATAGCTCTTTAATCCTAAAATTTTAAATGCAATCATGTTGAATATCGCAGATTTTGAAATTTTGCTTTTGATATAACAGATTTACCAAAAATCAAAGACTCATACAAAACTTGTTTGATTACTCTGATGTTTTGCAACAGAAAAGATGTTTGTTTGTGTGATGCTGATTTTATATCAGCTGTCCCATTTAAAATATTTGAAATATTAGATCACAGTTAAACCAAAACAAACACACTGAACACGACTGCTGGTGAGAAACAGACTAAAGCAACTTAGAGGGAAAATATTAGTCTGTCTTCAATAGGCTTGATCAGGTTGAATCAATCAAACATTGCAGATCATGTAATACTGATGTAAGAAGTTTAAGATTTCTTCACTTTTGCATGAGGCTCATCCATTTTAAGTTTACAAAATAAGGAGGGGTGACTGTCAGGATTCACTAGCATAAAAAAAAAAATCCCAAAATATTTGCTATTTAGTTTTATATATTCTTATAAAGTTTGAATTGGAAAAATATAAAAATAATGTAACGTGGTTTATTCAGCTGCTTGAAGGCAGACAGAGATATTTTCCATACGCAAACAGTCATTTTTGACTTAGTTTTGTTTTCATGTTTAACGTATATTTTATTTCATTCATCACGTTTGTATAAATAAAGGCTCTTTATTTGTGAAGGCAAAGCTTAAGAATAAACATCTGATAAGTTTAGAGAGCTGATTATGCTTTACTGTGCGAATGAGGTTGAAAAGAAGTGAATTTTCATTTAATCGTAAATTGTAAACTAATTACTTTGAGCGGATCCACCCATCACTTGCACTTTCAAATGTTAGACCTTGTTTTGAAATCAGATTTGGATCTTTGAAGTTTTAATTACTTTTGTAAATCGATTTAAAAACATGCAACTAAATGCTTATTATAAAGCTTTGCAGTATCGTAATAGTTGGGTCTTGAATTATCTGTGCTGACAGAAGCCACAGTATTAGAAGTTTAGCTCCGCCCTGATTCCCTTGATGTGACATTCCTACTGTAGTTTACAGAGGATCCCAATAACAGCTCCCTCCCAATTTCCTTGGTTCTAAATCAGCTTGAAAAACACTCGGGAAGCCGTTGCAGCACCAAGTTTTTTTTTTTATAATTTATGTTCCTACTTAGTGGTCCTCTTATAACATGATGTTTTGATGCAAACATTTCATTAAAACACCAGAAAAAGTTCTCCATCTTAGATCAATGTTTATAAAAATGCACATTATCGGAACAAATCGTGGCTTTATAAGGATGCTTTATTTCAAAGTATGTTTTATCTGAAGTTCCTTCAATAAATGTAGATAGACATCAGAAAGAAAAAAATACAGCATAAAGTTATATATTATTGTTTTGGGTTTTTTTTTTTTTTCAGCTAATATACCTTTAAGACAGCACACTAAAGAAAAGAGAGGTGATCATGTAATTTTCCATCAATGCATGTGAGCTTCTAAATGCTTCATGCTGTCTTCCCAGCAGATCTTCATGCAGTATTTAGTAGAAAACATCCTGTTTGATGTGCTTTGACAAAGAAATATTCACATCAAGCATTTGTAAAACCATTTCCGGCCAGTGTGAAGAAAAAAAGAAACCTATTACAATCCAGGAAATAAAATAAAAAAATGAAAAAACCTCTGTGATTAGGCATTATTCAGTTGGCATTACAACATGCTACAGCCGACCATCAAACAAATGCTGACATCTGCTGTTGCACTTTATTTTTTGCCCCTTGCAGCAAACCACAAGAAACATTGTGATATTTCTTTTTTGGTTAATGTGAGTTTTAAAGTGTCACCTTGATAAATGCACCCGTCCATGCTTGTGTTTTCCCAAATTTGCAGCCGCTCCCTTACATTTGTTAATGTTGATTAATAGCCCTAATGCATTTGGTATTTGGTCTCCCTTCTCCTCCCACTCTTATCTCTTAATGTGACTTTGGCTGGGCTGCCAGCCCAGTAAGCAAAGAGAAATAGAAAAATTAAGGAAGCAGAGAGCGACGGCGAGGCGGACTTGCCTGGAAGGAGCTCTCTAAGCAGATGAGCGTGAAATCTCAGTTGGATGACAGAAGCGAATGTCTCCTCATCAGAGTGCACACATTCTACACATTTAAAATAGATTTCTACATTGGAATAATCAGATGTATTTCTAATAAAGTGTCATCAGTTGTTTTGTTTTTTTTGGAGGGGGGGCTAATCATAATGTTTTCAGACAGCAAACTCACATACCATGACATAAATAACAATAAAAAAAAGAAAACATATCTTTAAAAAAAAGCTAAACTGAAGTTTAGTTCCACTTCTTAAAGACCAAGTACATTTTTTAATTAGCACCATGGGACTGCCTTTAAATATTTAATAAAAAAAAGGTTTTATTTAGTTTATTCTGGACCTACCATCTTCATTGTGGCCTAACCTTTGTTAATTAAACAAATATGCAATATAATCATGATCAGCTTTTTGTCTAGGATTGTAGCTAAAGCATTTTAAAGCCTGATAGGAACCAATATGCTTTCCTCATGTCTGTATATGTGTTCATATGATTAGAACAAGGATAGATTAAACTGGCTGAAGGCACCTGATAAGATCTGATAGGAGCCAGATTACTCCTTCCCTAAATCTTATTATTATTTTGGGTCTTTTATATGAATCTCCCTATCCAGTACTGATATTGTAAATTAGTCAGATTTAAATATATATATATATATAGATATCAGGATGTTTTTTTCAGCGTTTTATTTTCATTAAACTGTCACAAGTACAGAGCAACAAAATTAACTTTCTGCATTTACCCATGGGGAGCAGTAGGCTGCCTTTGTGCGGCGCCAAGGGAGCAGTGTGGGGTTAGGGGTCTGGCTCAGGGACCCAGAGTGGAAGCCTGTGGGAGTGGGGCTCATACTCAGAACCTCAGGATTCCAAGCACAATGCCCTTACAAGAAAGCTGCCACTCCCCATAAAAAAAATATGTCAGCATGCATCTAAAATATTCGATGTAAAGATGCTGACAGAAATCATTTGTTTTCATACAGTTCTGGTTAAAGTTAATTTAGCCAATTAGTTTATAATAAATGGGTCAGTTTTTCTAATACGTGCTGTTTTTCTCTATTTGAGTAATATCACTTCATCAAGCCTTTGCTAACATTCCACAGTAAAAAATGAGTGATAGTATATATGATTCATGCGGATATCTTATCGGTTCAATGTAGATATCGCTCATTACTAAAAGCTGCATCAGAAATGGAAAAGTTGTACTGGGACACCCTGAGACTACTGTCCTCAGCTTTTCATTTACGTGAATTAAATGCTCTGCTGATAAAACAGAGACAATAAAATTCCAATAGTTTAGAAGTTTGAGTTTTTTAACAAAACATACACTCCTTTAAAGGAGTAAAAATGCCAAATTCCTCATTGCATTGAGTGAAGGAATCTGTTTTTCAGAGTGATTTAGATGTTTTTATCTTTACCTTGTTATAAACTCAGTTCTAGTTATATTTCACAGGATTCAAAGGGATTTCAGGGCCAGGTCAGGGGTGAGTGTGTGTTGAACAGGGCAGACAGCTGCTGGTCATTGTTCCTAATGACAGCTCCATCTGCTTCTCTTCCCTCTCTCCGCTCCACTAACAAATTAGCCTGAGCTGAATCTCGCTCCAAGTCCCTGAACTCTGCTCTGCTGATTTTTTTATATATTTTTTTTTTTTTTCATTATTGGCTCTTCTGCACGTAGGGAGTTTGAGTTCTCATTTTTGTGTGATATAACATTTTCAGTACAGACATACAGAGAAGGACTGTTTGCAAAAATATTAAATAAATCATGATTTGTAACTCTAAAGGGGGATGAGGCTGCTTTTTTTTATTAATGATAACAACTCGAACAGAGCTTATTTAAAAGTTGTATAACAACATTTTTAAAACTTTTTTTAGCTGTGTCCATGCTTGTAACTCACAATATATTGATTTCCGTATCCTAAAATAGAGCAAGTTTAAGGCGGAGAGTGATCATTTATTAGATGGTTCATCTGAGGGAAGTTCTAGCACATTTAACGTCAGAGATTGTCAATCCTGTGCAACTCTCACCAACAT